TTTTCCCCAGAATCGTATTTTCAGCACTGATTTGTTATCTTGTCCTCGTAAGCCAAAGAGATGATAAATATAAAAGATTTCTTCTACAACCATCTGCCAGCAAACACACTCATCAGTGATACAAAGACTTCAGCCATTTCTTCTTGAGTTTCTTCTGTGCAAACGCACTAGAACCTGCCGCTAATTTCGTGGAGCGACGCCAAAATCGGCAGCGCGATGGAAACGCCAGCATTTCACTCGTTCCACCTTTGGGCAGCGGTGGCAGGAGGGGAAGCGGCTTTCAGCGTTTCGCTGCATCTGCGGTTCCTCTTTCGGACGGCCCCGGGGTTATTAACTACCCCCGCGCACCTCGCCATCTCCCTTGCTGCGATTCAGCCTCTCCGAGCTCCGTCAGGTGCTTCAAAAACGCGACGCTCGTAGCTCCTTACCTCAGCTGCCGGAGCCCCTTTGGGTTTTAATGCCAGGCTCCGGTTTGCTGCAGCGACAGCCCGGGCACGGAGGCAACCAGATGCCCTGAGTTTGCAAAGAGACTGAAACAGAAGCTCCGGAAACCCGTGCCCATCGTTTCGGGGCCAGTGAGAGATGAGAGCGTTGTTGATGAGATGTGACCCTGGTTTGCAACTAAAACGCTTGCAATTAAATTATCTTGGGAGTAGCATCCCCATCGGTAATTGAATAAGCAATTCTGGGGCTGTAGCTTAGCCCCTAATTGGTGCAGGATTAACTTCTGTTCATCAGGCAGCACAAAGCTGTGTCCGAAAGGCGAGGACACGGGGTCCCGCCATCCCGTGTGTGCTTGGGGACAGCAGGAGGGAGCTTGACGGCTCCTTGTCCCGTGGCTGGCCAGGGGATGGTGCAAGATGCAGGGATGGAGGAGGCATGCAGCACAAATCAAACCTAAACCCATGATTTTTTTCATCCAGGGGAAATAAACCCCATCCTTGCATGGCCAACAAGCGGCAGACTCAACTGCTCGACCCAAAGCCATGCCACCAGCCCATCGCGGTTGCAACACGCCCCTGCGTGCGGCTTTCTGCCCATGCCGTCGCACGCTTACACGTGCAAACCCGTTGCCCCGGTCCCGCAAACACCTGAACCCCGACAGCCGCCCGCCGCGGTGCCGGGCTGGCACAGCTCCACCGCACGCAGGGGGAATCCCCCGGGAGCTGCCGGCCGGCGCGGGTGCCCGCTCCTCGGTGGGAAAGGCCAGCCCTGGAGCTATAAAGAGAATTAGCCTGACATCTCACGAGCTTTATTCAGTGCTGTCACTATGCGTTTGCTGCTTTTCCCACAGAAAGCCGGGGCCGGCCCGCTGCGTTCCTGGAATGCTATTTTATCCCCAATTTGATTTACGGAAGAACCCAAGAGGAGCCTGGAGATGGAGGGAGCTTTAAATTGGCCTCGTAGATCTTGCAGGCACAGGGGAAAGGCTGGGAAAACCCCCCCGAAAATGCCTGGTGAGGCTTTTGGGGTGGGCTGGAGGGGCCCGAGCTGCCAGCGGTCCCCACCGGAGCAGCAGCGGGGGCTCAGCGGGGACCCCTGCCCTCAGCAGAGCTGCACCCCAGCCCCGCGGCAGCACCCCCCGATTTTACCCCCTGCCCATTGCTTTCACCCCGTCCTCTCAGTCCTCAGCATCGCTCCAGGATAGACTATTTCTGCTGCCACCTTTATTTACACTCAGCTATTTAAAGCTTCAAGCTGTAGGCAATGTCTGGGCACTCATCCTGGGAATGCCAAGTCCCTCAACCAGGGAAACGACCCCAAAATGCGGCCGCTGCCCTCAGCCCCGCTGCCATCCCCACCACCGAGGGAGATGGCTTTGCCGTGTGCCCGGAGCTGGGTAGCCCGGGCTGCGGTGAGCCCCGGCGAGCAAATGCCAGCCCTGCCTGTCACCCTGCAAGCCCTGCTCTGATTTACAGCCCCTGGGAAGGGGCCAGGAAGGGTTTCCCAATCCTGCTGATGGGGTTTATTGTAGAGATGCTGAGCGGGAGCGCTGGCCGTGGCTCCCAGACCTCAGGGAGCTTCTCATCTCCCAGGGAACAGGCACGTCTTGCTGGAGACTCGGCTCCGGGTAGCTGCCACCGCAGTCCCTTGGTGATCAGGGGCAGCGGGTGTGTGTCAGAGCAGCCCCGAAATTAGTGATTTGTGCTAACGAACAATAGGGAGGCGATGGGCAGCAGCGAGCCCATGCCTCCAGCATCGCACGGGGGGACTCGGCCTGGCCGCAGGGGCTGCGGTACCCACGCCGGGGGCACCAGCGCCGGGCAGTAAATCACAGGGAGACGGGAGGTGATGCAGCAGCACTAAATCATTTGTGCCCTGAACTGCCCACAAAAAGGGGAATTTTTTTTTTTTTTTTGGCCAAAACATGGGCGAAAACAGCTATTCTTATGAATTATCCGAGTCCTGAAACACACAGATCAAAGCCCAGAGGATTTTGTTGAGGGATGTGCCGCTGAAGGTCTGATCACTGATGAGATTTGAGGGGTCAAACAGCCATTTGCACTGACACCAGCACCACCAGTGTCGCTGGGAAAGATCTGGGAGCAGCAGCCAAAAACTCTCCCTCTGCAAAGTCACCTGGCTCCAGCGGGTCCCATAAGCCAAACACGCTCCGCACGAAAGGCGTCTCTCCACGGGGCCAGGCCTGCCTGCTCCAGGAGATTAATTATTATTCAAGTGCAGATAAAATGAGCAAGTTAAATACAGCGATAAAGAGTTAGATAAAGCAGAGCTGCTCTGTTTGCATTTTATGGTAAGGCAGGAGCTCTCTGCTCGAAGCTAACCAGACTCGGGCAGCTGGTGCAGCCTGTTGGAAACGTGTCCCTGCGGCCGGAGCCGGTGACCCGGCACGCTGGCTGGGCACGCGGCTGCGGGGCCCGGGCGGGGCTCCCGCCTGCGCCTGATTTGCACCTGGAAAAGCTGCAGGGGAAGCGCACGGGTGCAGCAGCAGCTGGGGTTGTTGGATGCTGGGTTTCTCCGTGCCTGGCAGCAGGATCCCATGCTGGCCATCGCTGGCCCGGAGACCTCTGCCATCGGCTGAGCGACATCCCACGTAGCTCAGTGACAGCCCTGTGCCGTACATCGCTGGCTCCGGCGGGGGGACATCCTACAGCGCTGGCATCCTATACCCCGTCCCTAAAGCATCTTGCTGGCCCAGTAAAGACAGGACACTGGGCTGGATGGAGCCAGTTCAGAATCTCCAGAGCTGCCATCCCTGGAGATGCTGGACCGTGCACCAGCCCATGATGGGATGCTAACGCCCAATTTCCCGAGGGATTCAGACCTCCAGCAACACCCACAGCACACAGCAGCCGTGGGGTCTGTGCGGAGGATCACCGCCCCGTCTGCCCACGCACCATCCCGCTGCCCGAGCGCGCGGGGCTGCTCCGCGCCGTTCCCTGCCAGCACTGCTGCACCAGCCGCGACCTTGGAAAGTTTTCTAAATTCTGCCGGGGCTGGGAGCCATTCCCAGGAATGCAGGGTGGGAGGAAGCGAGGAGACTGCGGCACAGGGGCAGGGAGAGAGCTTTGGTGAGAGTGGTGGGGCATCCTTCATCGCTGGGTCTAAACTGGGATGGGATGGGATGGGATGGGATGGGATGGGATGGGATGGGATGGGATGGGATGGGGTGGGATGGGGTGGGATGGGGTGGGATGGGATGGGATGGGGTGGTGGAAGCATTCACCAAGATGCAGGGAGAGGGAGAGGAACCGCCCACGGTCCTTGGCAGGGCCAAGGCAGGTGTCACGTCCTTGGCGTGTCGCGCTGCATCCGCAGAGCCTCTCGGGTGGGGCTCCTCTGGGGAAGCGCCGCTCCAAGAGCCTCCTGCCTTCCTCAGACCTCTTCCTCCTTCTCTTAATTGGCTCTAATTTGCATGGGGGGGCATGTCTGTGCAAGGCAGGGATCCCTCGCCCATGTCAGCAGAGACCCAGGGGCCTGTCAAAGGTGAGCAGATCCTTGATGTGCAAAGCGTGAGGCAGCCCAGAGCACTTTCCATCAGGCCGGGGAACTTTCCAAAGGTTCCTCCCTGCAGCGGCCGAGCCAGCATCCTCCCTCGGCGCGGCAGCGAGGCCGCATCCTGGCCCACTGCCCTGTGAGCGTTTCCATCACAGTACCAGCTCCTTGGGAGCAGGAGCAGCTCTCAAGAATCGCTCCCGGATGGGCTTTGCCGGCCAGCGACAGGCAGCCAAGCAGGAGGGAGGTTGCTTGAACCCCAAGCCGCCTTTGCCAGTGCCAAACTCTCCTTCCACGACCCTCCTTTGGGCTGCGGCAGGAGAGGGCTGCAGCCAGGGAGGTTTCCTTTATAATGGGCTGCAGGGGCTGGGAGGGGCTGCAAACGCTGCGCTGGGAGCCCAGGCTCATTTAGTGCAAAGTTTGTGCGTGTTGCACACCCGATGCCACCCGGAGCGGACGGAGGCCTGGGAAATGATGGTTTTGGAGCCCTCCCGGGGCCCTCGGTGCGGCAGAGGAGAGATGCACACGCAGGCAGGGCAGATGCACACACAGGCAGGGCAGATGCAGACGCAGGCAGATGCATGCAGGCAGATGCACACGCAGGCAGTGGAGGTGGACACACAACTCCAAGGGACAAGCCGGGACTCGAAGTGAGAAGCCCTGGCTCGCTGGGACAAGGCGCTGGCCCAGCACTCGCAGCCGTGTTTTGGGGCAGCCCCTGTGCCACCAGCCCTGCGTCACCTCCCCGCTAGGGTCTGTGTCTGCAGCGTGGGGCTCAGTGCAGGGCTGAGAGGGGATAAGCTTTTGGCACTGGTGGTTCCTGGGAAAGGGGAAAATGTTTAATGTTGTAAATACACAAAATGCCGCGTGAGGAGGGCCAGGAGGAGCCTGCAGCCCCCGGGCACGGTCTGTGGGTGCACCCCACCGTGCCAGGCTTCAAGACAGGGGTGCAGAAGATGCATCTTTTGCAGCAGAATAATCAACCGGGAACTTCTGCGCCCATTTCTACAGCGTCCCAGTCGTGCCGCCTCCATCCAACCCACCCATGTCTGCTTTGTCCGTGAGGCCTCCGCTGGGAAACTGGATGGTGAACTGGTCCATCGCGCATTTTAAATGCCACTCGTTGAAGTGTTTTCCAGGCAGCACCCAGCCTCATCCAGCCCCTGCATTGCTCCGTCTCTCCCTGCCCAGCTGGGACCCACTCAGACCAGCAGCCATACTGGGTTGCCGGTGAAATGGCCTGGGAGTCCTTTAGCGAGACTCCTGGGAGAGATTTGCACAGAGGACGGTTACGCAGCAGCCCCCCTGCTTTGGCTTGGAGATCCTGCACCAAATAGCTGCACGCGAGAGCGGACGCTGGGCACGGTGTAAGTGGTGACGGATCTCGGCGTGAGACTCCTCAGCGCCGTAAGTGCACGTGGGTGGTTGCTGCGATCCCCGCTTGCAGCAGAGCGCAGCGGCTGCAGCAGCGCCCGAAGCTTCAAGGTCTGCAGGAAAAAGCCTTTTCTGCCTCCGAGTGCAGGCAGGCGAAGCAGAGGGTGGGAGGAAGGGTTGCTGTCCCCGTCCCGCACGGCTGCTCAAGGATTTGCCCAAGGCCACGCGGGGAGATGCTGTCTCCCCAGGCCCGCGTGGGGTGGCCCTGAGGAGTGACAGTCCTGGGGGGCCTGGCGAGGCCCCCAAAGTCCCCGGAGTGCCTGATCAAAAGAGGGAGCAGGAGCGTGTCAAGGATGCATATCCAAACTGCTTGTATCCAGCTGACGTTTCTCAGCACTTTGCTGGTTGGGGCTTATTTAAATATATATTTTTTTAATTTTTTTTTAAATAAAAACCCCAGGGTTTATTTCAAAAGTAAAAGCTCCTTTTGGCAGAAACCCCTTTCTTTTTAGCCAAAAGTCCCAGCACAAGCGCTCCCAGGACCGCCGGGCCACGCTCCAGGTCTGCTCCTCTGTCCTCCCCGGTGGGAGGCTCGGGGCCACCTCCCCGGTACAAATCGCCTCCCCCTTTCCAGCACCTCTGTGCCCCGTTCTCCCCCCAGCAGGCTGGGCCCTGCAGGACTGGGCAGGGCAGGGGGGGTCCCCGTCGTTCCCCAGTCCCCAGGGTCTTGATGGGGTGCGCAGGGGCTCCTGAAGGCATCCTGAGCCCCTGACTCTTTGTGGGGTGCGCAGGGGAAGGACAGGGGCTCCCAAAGACACCCCAAGACCCGGGGTCTTAGTGGGATGCACAAGGGAAGGGCAGGGCCTCCTAAAGGCACCCCAGTGCCCAGGGTCTTGGTGGGGTGCGCAGGGGCTCCTGAAGGCATCCTGAGCCCCTGACTCTTTGTGGGGTGCGCAGGGGAAGGACAGGGGCTCCCAAAGACACCCCGATCCCCAGGGTCTTGGCAGGGTGCGCGGGGGTTCCTAAAGGCACCCCAGTCCCCAGGGTCTTGGCGGGGTGCGCAGGGGCTCCTGGAGACACCCCGATCCCAGGGCCGGGGCTCCCGGGGGACGCGCAGGGCTCAGGCTGGGTGGGGGTCCCGCGGGCGGGGGTCCGGGCTGGGCCCCCCCAAGGGACGGTCAGGACGGGGCGGGGGGGGATCGCCCCCCAAACCCCCCAGAAGGCCGG